AAAGCAAGGAGAACTCGAAGCAATTGCGGATAAAAGTTCAAGGATTACAACCTTCAGTATGGATTGTAATTCAATGGACAGAAAACAAAAATCCTCACAACTGGACCAACAGACAACAAACCGTGATAAATGGAGAAAAGATGGAAGCTGTCAGTATTTCATTTCCACTGGACCCACATCAGCGCTCATGGAAACAGGAGTCAGAAAATCAAACGGTGCATTGTCTTGGGCAGATCTGCTGGACAAGGTCTCTTTAAAGTGTTGAAGAGCAAAAAGACGTCCCTGAGGACTCAGGTGTGCCTGACCCGAGGCATGGTACTTTTCATCACCTCGTGCGCATGCACAAACTGGACAAGGAACAAGGAAGACCACAGAAGAATCGATGTGTCTGAATAATGGTGCTGGCGAAGCACATTGAAAGTACTATGGACTGCCAAAGGAACAAACAAATCTGTCGTAGAAGAAGTACAGGCTGAAAGCTCCTTAGAAGCCGAGAGGGTGAAACTTGGTCTCCTGTGCTATGGATGTTACCAAGAGAGACCAGTCCCGGGCATAGGCCCTCGTCCTTGATAAAGTAGAGCGGGGCGGTCCCAAAGAGGCAGACCCTCCCCAGGATGGAGCAGTGGACTCCAGCATGAGAGCAGTTGTGAGGGTGACATAGGGCTGGGCCGTATGTTCCGCTGCACACAGGGTCACCGTGAGCTGGAGCTGGCTGGACAGAGCCTAACAACAGCACGTTCCAGTTTTTGTGTAAATCTAAACCAAGCCTTGAAGGAGAAACACGACTGAGAGAAGGAGTCCCTGGGCAGCACCAATGGTTCCCACTAGGCTGCTGACGGGAAGGTTGGAGGTTCAAGTCCATTCAGAGGCACCCTGAAGAGACCTGGCAGTCTCCTAGAAAAGCAACCATGAAAAGCCCAACGGAGCCCAGCCCGGTCGCCTCCGCAGTGGCATCAGCTGCGCGGAAGTCGGGTTTTGTTGTGCTGGCTTTTCTTAAGCACAGAAAGGTGAGGAGGGCAAGCCAGGCGGAGCTGCTCCTCCATCAGGGACAACCAGACGACAAGTGAGTTTTCACGAGAGAAATTAAAATCGCATCCCTGTCTGGCACATAGAAATGAATGCCAATACTTAGCACAATTAAAAATAAATTAAAAATTAATCCCAGGGCATTAAAGATTCAGAAGTGGAAAACTATTTCTGTTTCTACCGAACCTTTTCTAATGACTTTTATTTAAATTATTTACTTACTTTTGAATAGGTAATTTTTTATTCACATGAGTCACAGCTCAAAAAAGCCATAAGAGGTATGCAGTAAAAAGACGCCCTCACAATGCTCTGCGGTCACCCAGCCCCACTTCGGGGAGGCAGCCAAACACTCGTCTCTCTTGTGTAGCCTACGTTAGAGATGCTTTATGCTTAAAAAATAATAATAATCGCACACACACACATAAGCCCCAAACCACACCTCTTGTTGTCGAGATGGCAAAATGATAAACATTTTACAAGAAAATGTACGTGGCGACCTTTATGGTCTCTGGGTAGGAAAGATTTTAACAAGACACCCCAAAAACCCAATGATCAGAGTAGCGATGGATAATGGTAGCATTTAAATTAAAGGCTTGTGTTCATGAAAGGTACCAGAAAACAAAGGGAAACGATGAGTCTTTTAGTGGGAGACAATATTAGTGGCACATATGCCTGACACAACACTTACCAGCTGTAATATATAAAGAACTCTCTGAGAGTGGCAATCCCAGGAGGGTGGAGGGAGGGTGGGGTGGAAAGGGGAAACTGATTACAAGGATCTGCATAGAACCTCCTCCCTGGGGGATGGACAGCAGAAAAGTGGGTGAAAGGAGACGTTGGACGGTGTAAGAAATGACAAAATGATAATTTATAAATTATCAAGGGTTCATGAGGGAGGGGGAGCGGGGAGGGAGGGGGTAAAAATGAGGAGCTGATGCCAAGGGTTTAAGTGGAGAGCAAATGTTTTGAGAATGATGAGGGCAATGAATGTACAAATGTGCTTGACACAATTGATGTAT